CACTTTGCATCAGCCTGTGCAAGTCTTCCCAGGTTTTTCTGAGAGTATCCTGCTCATCATTTCTTATAGTACAATAGTATTCCATTCCCCAATTGATGGGCATCCCCTCAATTTCTAATTCTTTGACCCAGAAAAAGTTGCTATAATTATTTTTCTACATGTAGGTCCTTTTCCTTTTATTTTTTAACTTTTTTGGGATACAGACCTAGTAGTGGTATTGCTAGGTCAAAGGGTATGCATGGTTTTATAGCCCTTTGGATGACCCTTGGTTCTTGAAGGTTATAACAAATAAGAACAAACTCTGGAAGGATCTACCAAAAAAGTATGCTTTAGTGTACAGTTCTCAAGATTTACTATACCTCTCATCTAATGGCATGCCAGGCCCCCAAAGCATGGTTAATGTATATTTCTTTTATTTTAATCACAGCAACTCTTAAAACTATCAACTGAAGAAACTGAAGAGCTATTATTATTCTCATTTTACAGATGAGGAAACTGAGTGTGAAGGGACTTGCCCAGGGTCACACAGCTAGTAAATGTTTGAGGCAAGATTTAAACTCAGGTCTTTCTGACTCCAGGTCTAGTGCTCTGTCTACTGGACCATCTAGCTACCTCTGATTTTTATAATAGTAATAATTGATATGTTATAGTAATCATATATGAGACAGCATAGTACAATGCAAACACTGGAGTCAGAGGACCTGAATTTGAATTCTTTTTCTGTAGCTTTGAGCAAGTCACTTGACTTCTGCAGCCTTTAATTTCTTTATCTGTATAATTAGAGACTTGAATTAAACATCCTCTAAGGTCTTTTTCATCTCTAACTCTATGGTGATATGATTTCTAGAATAATCCAAGATATCTATCCTGCTTTTATGGAAGATTTCAAAGCTACCAATGAGAACTTAGTATAGTTCTTCATTACCTATTTGTTTAAATATGCTTAACTTTATGAATATGTTTAAATATGCTTTCTAATATGCTTAAATTGTCTTAACTTTCTGTTTAAGAGGATGCCATTTGTTATATTTATAATGACTGCAAAACCAAAACTATTCCTGTTACATAATCCTGCTTTACTTCATTGTGGGTAAAGTATACTCTTAACCTGCTGCTCAGAAACACAATATTCACCCACATGAAAAAAGAAGTGTATTCTCAACAAGGTTTCAATAGCACTTCAGGAAATTTAGTACCAGGAAGAAAACAAGAAAATTATAATGTGTTAATTGCTAAAATGAACAGTAAAAAATGACAGCTCAAGTCATTTAGAAGCTTAAAATCAAAATGTGCTAGAGTTTAAGACCAACTTAGACAGAGCATTCAAATGATTGGTATATTGGGAATTGGGTGTGTGTGTGTGTGTATGTGTGTGTATACACATACATATATGTGTGTATGTATATGTGTATAATACATGTGTGTATGTATGCATATATATACATTATATATGTGTGTGTATACACACACACACACACACACATACATACACGTTGTTGTGTTTGTCCTTTGTTCTTAAAAGGGACCATGACATCAGGGAAGTGATGGAATGACTTGCAATGATTTGAGGGAGGAAGGGTGGTGCAAGGTCACTAGCCTCACTTTCTCCTCCACAGCCATCTGGGACCAGTGGCCAAATATTCATCAGAATGACTGGAGATGGCCCAGGATGCAATGGGACACCCTAGCCCTTTTAAGCTAAGGTCTTTTCAGGTTCTTACTTCGAGTGAGGAAACACCCATTCAGAGAATAGGGGACACACACAGACATACACATCAATCAAGGGATTGGTATATTGGGGATTGGTTTATCAGGAAATAGCATGAACAAAGGCACAAGATGGAAATCAGTAAGTATGTACTATGTTGAAAGAACAGTTGGGGTCTGTTTGTAGTGGTAGTGGAGGAAACAAATTCTGAAGGAATGGGAAATACTGTTGGATAGGTCATACAGGTAACATTTGGAAGTAAAGTGTGCCTTCAGTATCCTATCTTACTTTCCAGTGTCCCCCACCATCATCTTCTTTCCCTGAAAAAAAAATACATATGTGTGTGTGTGTGTGTGTGTGTGTGTGTATACACACACACACACACACACACACACACCTCTCCATCTTGGTGTCTAAATGACTCTAGAGTAATTCAGTGATTTCATTCAACATTCATTTATCCACTTCCTACTGCCTTGTAAGGCACTAGCTAATACTTAAACAAATAAGTAAATCAAAAAAAAATAATTTGAAGAGAGAAAACACTACTAGCTAGGGGCATCAGGAAAGGCTTCCTGTAGGACTGGACACATGGGATAAGACTTTGTTGTTGTTCTTTCAGTCATGTCCAATTCTTTGTGACCCCATTTGGTGTTTTCTTGGCTAGGATAATGCAGTGATTTGCCATTTTCTTCTCCAGCTCATTTTACACATGAGGAACTGAGGTAAGTGACTTGTTTGAGGTCACACAGCTAATAAGTGTCTGAGGCCAAATTTTAACTCAGGTCCTCCTGACTCCAGTACCACCTAGCTGCCCTAAGCCAAGCCTTAATAAAAGATAAAGATTCTAAGAGGTGGCTGTGATGAAATGTATTCTAGGCATGCAGGACAGCTTGTGCAAAGATACAGAGACTGAATAAGGAGTTCTGGGAATAGCAAGTAGGCCAGTTGGCTAAAACACATAATGCATAAAAGGGAATAATGTGAAATCATTTCCAAAGAAGGTTGGAGCTAGACATCAAACGATTTTAAATGACAAGGTAAGTTTGTTTTGTCTTAGATACAATAGAGAACCAGTGAAAGTTCTTGACAAGGAAAGTAACAAAGGTAGATCTACTTACTAGGAAGATGATTTTGGCAGCTCTGTGAAGGATGGTTGAGAAACTGAAAACAGTAATACAGGTGAGAGGTAATGAGAGTATAAACTATGATGGTGGCCATGTTAATAGAGATGGGGATGAATGGGAGTGAAATTTTGGAGGCAAAATCCAAAATACTTAGCAGCTAATTGGATATGTCCTGGTGAGGCAGAGTACATCAAAAAAGCGAAAAAGATTTAAAACTAAAGTGGCTGTTTAGATGGTAGTTCCCTTAGTTTGGAAGACAAGCTTAGGGATGAAGATAAGTTCTATTTGGGGCATGCTGACTTTGTCTATTGGACATGTCCAACTGAAAATATCTAGCAAGCAGTTGATGATGTGGAACTGGGATTTAGGAGAGAAATTTGGTCTGGGTATCTCAGATATAGTCTATATAGAAAGTTGGTCACCAACCAAGTTGGCCAATAGAAAATGCTCATGTTGACCAAATCAAAGGTGTTTGAAGCTAGGATTTGTCTAGGATTGATTTGAGGTGGAAGAAATTGCAACTTGGAAAACTAGGTTAGAAGCTATTTAAATAATTCACAGATAAGGTTTTAAGACCTTGTTATATTCTACATATGGTATTCTACACAAAGCCTCGTTCTTATAAATTCTCTTAAGAACTGAGATTTCCTTTTACTTTCAATGGAACTAAATTTGACTGATTTATAATTAAATGTAAGTACTCAAACTCAGAAACTTAATACGTTCCCAATTGTATCGAGTCCCTGTTATCATGATTTTTTAAAATTTTCCTATTAAGAGTATGTTTATGGAAAACATTAATTAAAAATGGTAACAAATGCTACATCTTGTTCTTCAGAAGCTAGTCATTGGATAAGTAGAAAAGTTTGAAAAGATTTATCAGGTTAGTTGTAACGTTTAGGGGAATGGAGTTGCTTTTAACATTATATCTGCTTCTAGATCAGCAGCTGACAGTATTTTTGTAATGTGCTTTGCTTATTCCAGCAAAAAGATACGCTTAAGAATCTTTACAGTAAACATGATTTCTGTACAGCTTCAAAACTCAGGAAATTTTTTCAGCATCCTCCTTGCTCCCTTCACCAACCCCATCTCCTTCTTTCCTCGTTCAATGGTTGCACTAACACAGAAAGTAGCCAGGATAGTCGAGGGACAAACAACCAAGACAAATCTCCACCCTCATCTCCCCAAGCATGGAGTCAGCACTACCAAAAGGACTTCAGGTTCAGAAAATGTGACAATGGCCAAATATCAGCTGTGTACCCCTCCCTCTCTGTCTTCTCCGTGTTAAAAGAAGCTAACAAAATAGTGTTGGGACTATCAAGATGGCAAAGTCAGGCATTTTAAGAACCCTAAACTGTTGGGGGGGGGGGTTCCACATAGAAAGGAGCACTTCATTTTCCTGTGTAAAATGGGCTATGAATTTGTTAGAGGGGGAGGGCAGGTGGAAGATGCTTGTTTCCCCGACCCTACCCCCTAATCTCAGTGGGGTGTGAAAGCGCCCTGAATCCCAGGTGCAGTAAGGGGGCAAAGCACCCTAGGTTTGGAGTTGGAAAGCTTGGCTGGATTCCTGGCTCTGCCGTTCTCAAGGAGGCGAAACCTTGGAGAAGTTATTTAAAAATCCCCGGGCCTCAGTTTCCTCTTTGGTAAAAATAAAGAAGGGGGTGCACGAGATGAGCTCGAAGTCCAGGGTAGCCCTTCTGCCAGCTTTGTAGCCAACACCCCGGAGCAGAAGTGGAATGTCAGTGACTGTCCAGACGGCGGCCGCGGGAAGGACAGCGCCTACCGCCCTTCCCGCTCAGCACCACCCCTCGGCGCACGCGCGCGCTTTTATAGGGGGCCGGAAAGGGGGGTGGAGACGCCGGGGAGGGACGCGCTGACGCCAGGTCCGCGGCTGCGGCGGCCACAGCAACATCAGCCGCAGCCGCGGGGCCGCGCGAGCCTCGCTCGCAGCCGCCGCGTCAGCCGGGGGAGGGGGTGGGGGGTGGTCCGCGGGGGCTGGGGCGGCGCAGCTTTTTTGAAGTCGAGCTCCGGGCTCTCGCCTCCGCCGGCTTCATGTGAAACTTCTCCTGCCCGCCCCCTCCCCCGTCCCTCCCTTCTCCCTCCCTCCCTTCCCAGTCCCCTCCTCCTCCTCCTCCTCCGCCTTCTCCCTCTCCTTCTCCCCCTCCCGGCCCGCGCTGACAGCAGGGCCGGGGGCTCCCCCGCCGCGCTGTCTTTGCCAGGTTGACGGCGGAGGGGCGGGGGCCGCTCAGCCCGAGCCCCCGGAGCCCCCGGCGCGCCCTGGGCCGGGATGGAGAAGCCCTCGGCGGTGGCGGCGGCCGGCTCGGAGGAGGAGGTGCTGGAGTGGCAAGTGGCGAGCCGAAAGAGGAAGGCCTGGGCCAAGTGCCGGGACTCCTGGCAGGCGTCGGAGACTGAGGAGCTCTCCACCGAGGCCACGCAGGAGGACGACGACGAGGACGAGCCGGACCTGGCCGAAGACAAGCTGCCCCCGGCTGCAGAAAGAGGTCAGGCCCGCTGTACGTCCGGCAGCCCCTCTGTCGGCTGGTCCGCTGGTCTGTTTATTTGTGGGTCTGTCTGTCCGTCCATCCATTCGTCCGTCTGTGTGTCCGTCTGCCTCCAGGCAGGGACTTTCATTTCTGCCAGGGAGGGGGGGGCTGCTTGAGATTAACGATCCAACTCTTTGAATTCAGCCCCCCCAACACCCCCCCACACCCCCATCCCAAGACTGTGAGGCTATCCTGGATTGATAAGGTTCGTACCAAGGGTGGGGGGAACTTTAAAAAAAAAAAAAGCATTTTGCAACTTAAAATGCTTCGGTTGCCCTCTGTTGACCAAGCAGTATTCAAAGTAAACAAAAGTCAAGTTAGAGACTTCTAGCCTCGGAGATGGAGAGCTGATTTTCTTTCTTTCTTTCTTTCTTTCTTTCTTTCTTTCTTTCTTTCTTTCTTTCTTTCTTTCTTTCTTTCTTTCTTTCTTTCTTTCTTTCTTTCTTTCTTTCCTCAATGCTTCATTTTGATGTGCAGCTTCTCGTGTCTAAATATGACCAGTTTGGGACTTCCTCCTTGGATGGAAAGTATCTTAGTACTAATAATCTGCCTCCCCAACTCTTTGTTTCGTAGGAAACGTTCCAAATGAAAAGATCGCTATATGGCTCAAAGATTGTCGGTAAGTCACTTTTAATGAGAAAGGAGGAACACCCAAGGGACTGTATGCTTGCCCATTTTCGCTTGATTCTTTTCAGCTTTAAGTCAAAACAGCCATGACTGATTTTTGTAAGTTGTTACTTTTCTGTTTTGCTTGTTTGTAGTAACTTTTAACATAGTGGAATCTTTATGTATCCCTTGTGTTGATTTTTAAAAGAACTATCACTTTATTTGAAAGAAGCTTTACAATTTAGATGTTTTTTCATAAGATCAGTGATGCAAACTTGAATATGCTTCCTTGAATATATACTGGAGCAGATGATAAATTTCTCTGCCTCCTCTATGTTTGGAAACTCATTAGAACAGGTTTCTTCTTGTAGTTTTATATTTGGAGCATGAATTTATCCATGTCACTGGCACTGAAAGAAAATAGCACCTTGAAGGCATTTGGTGCTCTGCAGTAATTTAATTATACTCTTCTGAAATAGTGAAAAATGTTTTGATAAGGTATGTAAAGTGAAGCATATTTGTTTGTAAATTTGGCTCCTTTACAGTTTGCTTTTTTTACATTTTAATTATTTTGCAGGTTACTTGCTTATTATAAAGGTTTAGTGAACCTTTAGCTTCAGAGCACCAATTAGGCCTTGTGTCAATGATCATTTTAATATTTCCAGCTCAGGCAACTGATGACGTTTTCTTAAAGTAGCTCATCCTTTGAGAATGTCCTCTTCAGTTTATTTTTCTTCCTTAGAGGCAGATGAAATCCTGACATTTTTGATACTGTTTTTGATAAATCCCTTAGAATCTCTAAGCACTTTTTAACTATGGAGTTTAATTCAAAAAAAGCAAGATTTTGTGATTCAGTCATAGAGTGAGTCTACAGTTAAGTACTTTAAAGATCATTTAATCCAGTCTCTGTCAGTAGGGAAATTGTGCCTGGTTATAAGGTGATTTCATTTGTTTTCCACCTGCTTAACTTGATAGTGAAGCTCTAATTTGTTTAATGGTGTTAATGCTCAGTTGATATTTTACGTGTTTGGATGGAAGATTTGTGTAAGTATATTTAGTGATTCTTGGGGAAAAGACCATGAAATTCAGTGGATCAGATTTTATTCACTTCTGATCATGACTATAATTGTTTTGGATAATGATGTTTTCTTACTTGTTTAGGTTTTTTTAAATATTCAATCTCCTGTTTTAATTATGGGATTGTTATTTTTTGTATTTTTTTTAGAATCTCGAAGATATTTTAACTTTTAAAAGAATGTTGTTAAATTTTATTGCTTTAACTCAAGTGTGTGTATAGAAAATGTATTTCTTTGGTAAGAACAAGAAAAGAAATTATGCCTTGTTAACTATGATTTGCAGAGTTGAAGCATTTGTAGGTAGAATATGATTACATAGGAAATAAGAGTCAATATTTTTGGTTTTTAAATTGCAGCCTTTAAAATAGGTGCAACCAAAAAGTGTTTCTAGTCATAAGTATTTACCTTTCATGAAAATCCTTGAACTAGTTAGTATGTTAAGTATGCCATTCATTCTAGACTGATTTTTAGTCTTTTTTTCCTCTTGAATCTCATTCTTCTTCCTTGCAATCACACGCATTGGGTACAAATGTGGCATTTTTACTTCTGAGAGCTATAAAAGACAAGAATTTTCTCCCAGGTTGGCCATACTGTTACAGATTTAGCTGCCTAGAGGAGGTCTTAAAGTAGGATCTCTTGGAGAGAATAAGAATAAATTTTGAGATAGTTTCTCAAAATGAATTTTTGTGTTTTTTTTCCCCCAAATGGGTGGACCATGCGTAATCTAGCATTGTGAAGCCCAATAACCTTGAATATAGTATTTTTATTTAAATGTTCTATAAAATCTTGTTTCAAACTGATCTCTCTTGTATTCTGCTAGAATTTTCAAAATAGACACTTCATAAGTCCCATCTTTATTTTAATTACTATTTAATTTTTTCTGGAAGGGGAAGCAAGAGTTGTTCAGATTAGACATAAGTTGGCTAAATTATCATCTAAAAGAAAAATCCTTTTCCCCTCCAAGGATTTTTTTTGGGGGAAGGGTAGTCCTTAATCATTGCTTGCCATAGAAGTCAAAGAGGGTTTTTGGAAGACTGTCAATTATGCTGGGGTTTTGTTTTTGTTTTTTGTTTTCTTTACTATTTACTGTTAGGTGCATGTAACAGTACTGGTATCCATAGAAATAATTGCCAATGTCTGATTGCTCTAAACTAAAAAAGTGAGCATTGGGAAAAATTATAATTGTTAAAGCAAACCACACACAATTAGATGTTTTAACATATAAGAAAAATCTTAGTTCCCAAAGTTTTATTGAGATATACCCTATAAGTAACTTTATAACACGTACAACATTGAGTTTGCTTGATCTGTATTCTGATATACCTAACATTTTGAGGTTTGTTAATTTGATAAGATTTTTTTTCTCTTCAACTGACATTGTTAGATTTATAGCACCTCTATAAATTGCTCCAAAAGGACAACTTTTATTGTAAAAGTTGTGTTGCAAAGCAAACCACAAATCTCGTGCTATGATTTACTTTTGAAATGTTCCATACTGATTTTAAGTGGAAAAGTATTTTTTCTTTTTCAAAAAAGAAATTTCCAATTCATCTGGCTTTAACAAACCAAGACAATACATTCTTATGAACAGAGATCATATTAGCAGTGATTAGTTGTGTGTAGATTTTAATGTTGATATCCAAGATTTTTGACACACATTTTTAAAATAGTCTTTCAGTTGTTTGTTCCTGCCTTATACTGAAGCCTGAACCTTAGAAGGTTTAACAGATTTTTTTGTAGTCATTCTTGAAGTCTAACAGATATGAAAACGTGTGGGAGGTTGGTTTTTTTTTTGGTGGGGGAGGGGGGAAACAGGGATTCATAAAATGTTAAACCTAGAAAAAGAAATGAAACTTAAGAAAATTGCGACTTGTTTACAAGTAGTGTCAGATTTTCTTTAAGTTTCTGACATAAATAATTTTGATTTACTTCAACTCTGATTTTTTTATTTTAGGAGGGCTAATCTAATATTTTAAAAAGAATGTCAGCTTATGTCAGTAATATAGTTCTTGCTCTTGATCAGTGACAGTTGAACTAGTCTTAGTGAACTATTTCCACAATAAACAATTTCTTAATTCTTTGAGTATTACACGTGAAATCAGTTTTCATTGCTTGTGTATGTTCTGGGAAGAGTGTGAAACTGTGGTTTTAAACTTGTTATCATATAGCCTGTTAAGCAAGGATGTAAAGGAACAACATTTTAAAGAATTAAGACAGTTATGTGTGTTATGTGGTTTCAGAACACCTTTGGGAGCTTCACTAGATGAGCAGAGCAATATTACACTCAAGGGTAAGAAAAAGTAACTTGTCAGTATAATTTTAAAAATGTGATTTCTGCTGTGTTTTATTTTGGATTAAAAACATATTTAAGTCAAATGCAGATGTATAAAATTTGCTGATACAGATAGAAAGTTAAATGAGAAGAACTTACCTATTTTAAACCATAAAAGCAATTATTTCATGAAACTTGCCTCTTTTGCATTTATAAGGCTTAGTTTTCTGATAGAATTAGATTTGGTAGGAATTTAACAGTAGTAAGAAGTGTTTGTGTTGAGTGAACTGGGTAACCCTTGATATAATAATTCAGTATTTCTTTGCTTATACTTAACTTGCCACACCTGAAAACTCACCACCTGTGCAAAACTGAACTTTAAAGTTCAAAGTACAAGAATGTTCAGGTAGTTACAGAGCTAATAAAAAGCACTTAGAGTATCAGGAGATCTAGTTTGAACTCCTGTGTTTTAATATGAGAGGGTAGGAAAAATGACTGCTCTAGGATCTGGTTTTCAATGAAACTCCTAAATATGTTATCTAATTAGACCTCATTAAAAAATAACAGGTTTAAATGGCTTGTAGGTAGGTTTGTGAAAATTTAATGTGGGCAGAAATTATTATTTTAAACATTTACTTATTATTATTATTGCTTTTTAAAGCCATTCACTATGTGATTTCAGTAGTGATAGCTGAATAGTTTCAGGGTCTGAAATATTTCATTATATTTTACAAAATATTTTGCTTGGTTAAATTTGTTATATTAACTGTAAATATTTAACCAGAACATCACCTTGCTATTTGGGAAAGAAAACACAATACTAAGTTTTCTGAATTCTCAAATGTTAATTTTCAGGTGTGCTTGTGAAAAATGGAGGAAGTTTTGAAGATGACCTGTCTTTGGGAGCTGAGGGTATGTTTGCAGGAATTATATGGTTTGAATGCAGTACATATGCTTTTAAATAAAATATATCATCCAATATTTACTTAATGGCAAGCAAATTGAATGTAATTTAGAGTTGGCTATCCAGTGAACTAAATTTAGTTATGTTAAAAACTACTTGGACTTATCTGCCAACATCTTTCCTGTGTGCTCTGATGTTCTAGTTATAGCATGTAGGATTAGTATTAGAAAGTTTGTGGAAAAGAAATTAAGTTTTCTATATTCCTTCCTTGAGTACCGTGCTGAAATTTTGTATGAAAAGAATGTAGAAATAACAGAAAAGAGAAGGAAAATAAAATTGATATACTTTGAAAAAAACAAATTGAAGCTGATTTTAGTATGAAATAAGCTAAGATCATGCTGGTAGCTGCTATCTGTCATTGATTGACTACTGTTTTTGTGTTTTTTTTTATTTTCTCCCTCTCCCTGCCCCTCCCTTCAAAAGATTATAGAACAAGGACGAATGGAACACATACTATAGTTAGGATTTGTTAGAAATTAACAATATGGAAACCAGTCATTTACTGTATTAGTTGTTTTAATAGTATGCTAATGCCACAATTTTCAAATTGGTTCTTTGTTTTGAGAGCAAAACTTACTAGATTAAAAAACAATTTGGGTGTTTTAGGAGTAAATGCTTATTTTAGTGGAGAAGTTAAAGTTGTTTTTAAGTTTTATAGCTCTCCTTTTGCATTTTTTCAGGTCAAATATCACATTGCTAGCAGCTATCATTATTATGTAATTACTTTTATGCTGCTTACTTGAGGATAAAGACAATTATTCATAGTTTTAAATTGTTCTAAGGTTATAAAAACTATTAAACTCATCTATGTAAGTAATACTTTTAATCTTTGGTTGATTTAAAATAATCTACCTAGGCTGGTGTAGCTTGAACTGTAAAGAGTGAGAACTGTAGAATAATTTCTAAAGATGTTATTTGGGTTATTTTTGTCAGTATGTTCTGAAGTACTAATTTTTTCAGTGAACTTGAGTTTATTGATTACCTCTCAGCACATTAAAAGTTATATAAAAAATCCTTTGTAAAAATACATATTATTATTGAGAACGACCATGTTTGCCACTGGTTTTAGCAATTTCTCAGAATTGAATGATTTCATAAGGACCCAAAGTTATATATTTTTTTAAAATTTAACTCTTGTTCTCTTCATGCAAATATTTCCTTGGTTATATTAATAACGAATAGCTGGACCAGAAATGGAAAATGAATAGTTAGCTGAAATGCATATTGCTAAGCATTATGTTTTATTAACTGTCTTATTTTGCATGTGTGTAAAAATTTAAGAAACATGTAAAATAGCTGTTTAATGGATGTTTGGTGAATTGAATCATATATGATCATTTTTTTCTTATTGTGAAATAAAAGAGTTTTAGATTAAAAAGGAAATGTGCTGTCAGAATCAATAGGACATATATATATATATACATATATATGTATATATATGTATATATATATATATAAATGTGTTATATAGTAAAAGTTGGTTGCTTTAAGTGGGTAACTTTTTAGCCTTTAAGAAAAGGTATATTAGAAATATAAATGTTTTAGATTATACAAAGTAATGAGGGCTAGACATCCCCTCCTCCCCCTTTTTAGGCATTGTTTTTTATTTCTATTGTCTACAGTTTCTAATTAGCCCATTGGGTCTATTTCTAATATGTGCTGTATAACCATGTTCATTTGTTCCAAATAATTATGTAAAGGAATTCAGTTTGTAGGGATTTTTCCTTCTTATTTCAAACACTAAAATGGAAGACATAAGAAATATATGACTCTCATCTTATCTCTGCCTTATACCTAATGGTATGCAGATTGCTAGCCAAGGTGGGAATTTGGAATCTAGGGCACTTATGATCCTGTGGCTAATTTACTTTCATATGTACTATATCATAGTAATCATGACTAGTAAACAATTTTATGCACTTTTTTCCTCTCTGCAGCTAACCAACTGCATGAAGGTGATGCTCAAACTGAACCCTGGTATGTATTTTGTTTGGCTTTCTCTTATTAAAACAATTTATCAGTAAAAGACATTATGAAAAGTAAAGTTTCATGTAGTTTGTTTATATTCACAGCAGTAGTGTCTTGGCTAAGGAAAGACGACTTCAGTTTCATCAGAAGGGGAGAAGTATGAATTCTACTGGCTCTGGAAAAAGTAGTGGAACAGTATCAAGGTAACTCAGTTATTTTAAAATCATGTGGAATTAAATTGTGTCACAGGTGTCCTCCCCTCCTGTATTGTCTTCCTAATATAACCAAATCAAATTCAAAATATTTCATTTTCTAGTGTCAGCAGACATTTATTTATTTTATTTTTTTGGTGAGGCCTAGGGTTAAGTGTCTTGCCCAGGGTCACACAGCTGTGAGTGTTATGTGTCTGAGGCTGGATTTGAACTGAGGTACCCCAGGGCAAGTGCTTTATCCACTGTGCCACCAGCAACAATGACAACAAAAATAACACCTGTGGCACACTGGTTGAACTGAGTTCTGAAGATTGGTTAACCTAGTTGACAGGGTAAAGCAGGGGTTCTTAGCTTTTTTGTGTTTGTCATGGACTGCTTTGGCAGTCTAGTGAGGCCTATGAACCCTTTCTCAGAATAAGTTTTATATAATTGAAGACCATGCTAAATTTCAGTTAGAATTTAAGTTTACAGACTCCTTGAAATCTATCCAAGGAGTCTTTGACAATTGTGGACCTTGGATTAAGCCCTGGTATACAGGGAAGTAGGAATTAACTTTACTAATTTGCTGAACCTTGAACCAAACCCACATAATAATTTTAAAAATTAAACTAAACTGAAATTCTGCTAACCACACACAGTTCTCATGAACCAGTTTGAATTAGAATAAAAGCTATATACTTTCTAAAATAAACTCTTAAACTGGAATTTTACATACTCTCTGATAGCTTTGGTCTTTGTTTTCAAATTTGTTATTCTTTCTTCCCTGTTGTTCACAAAAACAAACCCCAGAATCTGAAGTAGTTTTAGAAAGAAATTTATTTGATCGTTTGGGGGGTAAGGGTAGACAGAGCATGTCCAGAGTGAAAGAGCAAGTGAGCAAGCAAGCTGGAAAGATGGGGTGGTTCCTCCTCCCTTGGTTCTAAAAGGTTTGTATTATGTAGGATTTTGGCAAGTATACCTCCACATGAATCACATGTACATGTGTTCAATTAAGCAATTTTTGCCCAGAGGACAACTTGAAAGCAGGGTAGATTGAGATGGATATTAGAAAACAGAAACATTCAGTAAAATTTGGGCAAAACCAAAACAGCTCCTGAGTGTGGTAACCTAAAACTAGAATACTTTGGGTGGATCCAGAGCCTAGGGGAATGCAAGATACCATGTAGCCATCTCTAACATTCCTAGAAAGTTACTGGGGTCAGGCAGCATTCTAGGTGCAGATCACATAAAGCTGGATTTAAACAGTATAATAATTTTTCTGAACAACATAATAAATCATTTTCCCCATAGACCTTCAAAGGTGCTATCTTGGATTGCCAGTGGGAGCAGAGTGGAGGGATGATATGTGTTTCATTGAACTACCTTTTTTTATTATATCCTGTTGTGCATATCTCACTGCTTCCATTGCCTGAGCTGAATTGCTTAAAGGATTCAGGCCCCACCCTATCTTACTATATTTGTCCATTGCTATCTGTAGTGTCTCACTAGAATAAATGACCAAACCTGAGGGACAGCAAAAAAAGCTCTACATCTCTTGGCACCAGAGTACTTTAAGTTTCATAGGCTATTTTTATTTCCTTCCTAATGAAGAAATTTCTTCTATAACTTTACTTTCACTTTACTTACTCAAAACTTCCCTTCCCACCTTGGGGGGTGTGGGGCTGTGGGGAGAGCAGAAAAGGAATTCTACTGCATTTCATTAGTGGAAATCCACTAAAATGGTAAAGTCTGTAAGGTAAGGATTGATTCATATAGAATTGTGTTGATTGGTTATTTTTTAGGGGTATTTAGTCAACTTCCTAACAAATTCCTTGACCGTTTGTTATATAGTATTCAATATCAAGGACAATGCATGCTTAAAAACTTATGAACACCAAAATAGATAATGGCTTAAAGAGAGAATAGCTACAGGAAACATTTATTTTTATTTTATTGTACTTTTTATTTTTAAATCTTAGGAAAACAGGGACAGATTATATTAGTTTTTAATTTGTATATCAAGTCAGTTTGAGATTTTTGTCTTGGCATTTTGTTTTATTTAACTTCTTCCTCCCCCCCACCCCAAGTGTTTCAGAACTGCTAGAACTTTATGAAGAAGATCCTGAAGAAATTCTTTACAATCTTGGATTTGGACGAGATGAACCAGATATTGCTTCTAAAATTCCATCAAGATTTTTTAATTCATCATCATTTGCCAGAGGGATAGATATCAAAGTATTTTTAAGTGCTCAAATGCAGCGGATGGAAGTAGAAAACCCAAATTTTGCTTTAACAAGTAAGTTTTTTTTTAATGGAACAAGTTATGATTTAGCAATCACAGTAAATAGTTGTCTAATTTTCTGAACATCCTCATTCTTCAGAAATAGTACTACACATGCACTTTAATGAAATGTTACCTTTATATTTAAAATCATAAATAATGGTTTGAGTAACTTTTTATTATCTCTAATAAAAAATGAGTAGTCTAACTTAGATTCCTATAATTAATTTACAAAACTCATTCTGTATATGTCTCTCAAAAATAAGGTATACTTACAACCTGTATCGCTAGTACTAAGAATAATTTACTTGCAAGAAACTTGAACAGTTGTACCTCAAATTCATCTGTCATGTTTTAGTTCTGGAAATAAGAGGTAGGAGAGAGGGGCCATTGTAATCATTAGATGAAATCATAATCTAAAATTTCAGCAGTTTTCCTTAATCATTTAAACTCATTGTCTTTGTGTTTCCTTATGTATTCTCTGAATATTTGATAGGAAAATAAAAATCTGCCAGGTGTACCCCACATACACTCTGTTGCCATTTTATATTTACTTTGTTTTGTCATGTCAAAAACTGATAAGTTCTGTCTTTGTGCTAATACATTCTATTCATAAAGGTACAAGTAGAAGTTATATAAAACTCAAAAGAAGAAAGGATTGAGAGTTTTTCTTATTTAATATAACATGTCACAAATTTAAATTTATTTTTGTCTTCATGTAGGTCGTTTTCGTCAAATTGAAGTGCTTACTACTGTGGCCAATGCTTTTTCTTCTTTATATTCTCAAGTCTCTGGGACTCCATTGCAGAGAATTGGTAGTATGTCTTCTGTGATGTCTAACAAGGAGACAGATGCCCCTCCACCTTTAACTCGAAGTAACACTGCAAGTCGATTAATGAAAACACTATCAAAACTGAACTTGTGTGGGAATCAGCAAGCAGGAGAAAGTACCCCATCCCCAACTGCTGAAAAGGGAAAAATTTCAAGTGTTCCATGGACTGAAGAAAATGGCATTAAAAGTGATCAGAAATCACCTAAAAATGTAAAAAAGAAAGATAGTTCACCTTTGTTGGCCACAGTGAAAGAAGAGGTATCTGGTAATCCAACAAACATTACAGGCAGTGTTAACATTGAAAAATTTTCTGATGAAGTAAATAGTAACTTAAGCCAAGGAACAGATGATCAGAATAAGGAATCCCAAAGTCATGAAATTAGACAAGGTGAACAATCTGGCATTATAGACTCTAATTTCAGTAGTGACTTCAACATCTCCAGCAATAGAGAGATAGAAAGCAGCAGTGAGCTGAATAATGTACATACATCCACACCAGATAAAGAACCATGTGTACCAATACCAAACCCATCAATAAAAAATATAATGATATCGCAAAAGGACTCCTTTGAGATGGAAGAGGTAAGTAGAATAATACTGGAGCTGTGTTCAAGTAAAGTGCAGTTTGTTTTTTTTTAATCAGTCGTTAATCCTTCTAATTCATATGAACCAAAGAGTTTATAAAATGAAATTTATCTGATAAATGAAAAAAAAATTAAACCTTTCAGGTTTTGACAGTGTTGGTGTTAAAAAGAAATTATCTTATTCATAAGTAAAATAAAGACTGTTTGCTGATGTAGGTGTGATTTTACGTACACACATGTATATATGTATTAGTATGAATGAAGAACTTGTAAACAGGTTTTGTTGGAGGTATGGGGAAACAACGTGAACATAGTGAGCATTTGGAAAAAAGGTAAAGTATATATACAAAAGGAGAGACAATAGGCATTCAAACATATATTGGTGGCACAGTGGATAGAGCACCAACCTTGGAGTCAGGAGGACCTGAGTTCAAATCCAGCCTTAAACACTTGACACTTACTAGGTGTATGACCCTGGGCAAGTCATTTAACCCTGATTGCCTCACCAAAAAAAAGAAGAAAAAAAATTTTACTTTACAGTACTGACTAGGGTTAATTATGTATCTAGAATAGCAGAATTGGATATGACTAAAAGATTAATTTGATCTGATTTGATAAAGCTTAGATGAGCTTGCTTTAAACAGTAAGAACTAGTAACCTCTAAGTTACTGATAGAATATAAATTCTTGAGAGTAGAAGCTGTTTATTTTTGTCTTTGTATTCCTAGCACAATGCCTCAAGTGTAGTAGCATTAATAAGTGCTTGTTGATTAATGATTTCTTGCTCTTTGAAAAGCTTTATTGATGGATCATGCAGAGTGATCTGCAGTAATCAAAAATTTGGTATCATCTAATTTTCTTGCATTTATGTAGGTCCCTCCATTTCTACTAGCTAGCCTTCCAAAAGATTGTAACTTACTCTGATTTTACAAATTTTGTGTGTATGTGTGTATATGGGGGTGGGGGGATTATCTAATTTCTACCTTCTGAAATTTAATATCAAGTTCTAATTTATCCTTGAACTAGAATTCTTTTGAAAAAGAAATTCCATCCTGCTTTGATCAATACTTTTTAAAAATTAATGATTTGTTACCCATATTAAAATAGTCTTTAAAATACAATGTTCATCTGCTAAGATTTGGATATACTGTTTCCTTTACAATAATTTGATGGCGTACTAAAACCAGTGTACAGACTATTTGCAGTAATTTGTTTCTTTTAGTCTCCTGTCACAAAGTAACATAGAACCTTAAACATTGGCAGTGGTATTTTTTTTTACATCTTTAATTCTTTTAAATTGCAGATGTCTTCTTTATCCTATAAGTATCAATGCTATGTGATAAACACTCTGAACTTGGAACTCTGAGGTCTTACAGTGTAATATCCATTGCTGGGCCAGAGGGAGGAATGTGCATTCTTAGTAATCAAGTGAAATTGCCAGTCCCAGTCTCTTCTCTGAGCTTTAGTCCTATAGCTTCAATCACATATTAGACATTTTACACTGAATGTCTGAATTAAACATTTCAGACTTTGAGACATCTTAAATTTGTTATCTTTCACTCTAAACCCTCCCCTCTAGCAAATGTAAATGTTTTTGTCCAAGGCATTATCATCCTTCCAAAGTCTCTGCTTTATAATCTTGCTTATCCTTGATTCTTCATCCTCCCTCAGTTCACATTTCTAATCAGTTGCCAAATCTTGCTTGTTTCCACCTTCCCTTCCCAACATCTCTTCTATTCAACCCCTTTTCTTTACTCATGCAGCTACCACTTTAGTTCAGGTCTTTATCACCTCTTGTTTAGATTGAAACAGTCTAATGGTGTCCTTGACTCAAGTCTCTCACCACTGTAGTCCATGCTGCACACTGCTGCTAAAGTTATTTTCCGTAAGCTCAGTTCTGACATTCAGTTCCCTACTTAACCAATTCCAGTGGCTTCATATCTCTGCTAGAATAAAATCAGAACTTCTGTGTTTACAGCGTAGCCCCAGCCTTTTCAGCTTTATTACATCTTCTCTGCTCTGTGATCTAGCCAGACTGTTCTTTCTGGTTCCTCACTAATGACATCCCTTTTCCATCCCTTTGCATTTCCCATCCTCCATACTTGGCATGCATTCCCTCTTTACCTCTGCTTCATAGAGCACCTTTCTTCCTTTATGATGTAGCTTAGGCACCATCTTATTCATAAAGCCTTTTCTGATAATCCCTTCCTGCCCTTGACCCCAACTCCTAATAACCTCCCTCCCAAAAACTACCTTGTAATTTATCTACTATATGTGTTGTGCATATATATTTATTAAATATATATACATATATATAAAAATATATATTTATCCTGTAAAGATTTTTATATGTGCTTGTCTAGAATGTAAGCTCATTGTGAGTAGGGAGTATTTTATTCTTTGTGCTTTTATCTTTAGTACCTTAGTATAAAATCTGGCACATGGTAGGCACTTAATAAATACTTGTCCATTTTTTGTAATGGGCATATATGAACAACCATCTTTCTGAAGCAACTTTTCTTCCAATTAAATTGGAAGGAAATTGAAATTAGAAAACAAAACTGAAGAAATATACTTAGATTTGAATCTTAATAAACAGGGGCATCAAGAAGAGAGCTCTAAGATAACCAGTATTCCAAATAGGACTTAATCAGCTTTCTTAATATTAATTGTGAAGTTTCTAACTACAGCATATCTGAGCAAGGGAAGTATCAGAGGTGATATTCAAACTGGGTTGGCTAGGCTTCAGTGTCTTTTTCTATCTGTTGCAACATGGTGGTCTTCAAGACCTTTTTCTAGATATCAGGTGATCCTAATTTGGGTCTCAATCAGATAATGGGAACTTAAGGCCATAAGTAGTGTGTTGCTAATTGTCTTTTTTCCCCTTCTTTTTGATTTTTGAAAGCGGAAAAGTTCACCTCAATCCAGAATTTTAGGGTTGGCTCCTAGATAAAAAACAATGTACCATCATAGTGCAGTAGACTTGTAGATAGGATTCCTGGGTTTTTATGTTGCCTTAGGTACTTGTTGTGTGACTTTGGACATATCACTTAACCTTTCAGAGCCTGTGTCTTCACCTGTAAACTGGGAATTAACTTGTACAACTTACCTTATAAGGTTGCTGTGACTAAGCACTTTGCAAGCCTTAAAAGCACTATATAAATATATTTGTAGTTGCCATTCTATGTAAAATTGTCAAAAAGCCAAAATAACTCTAGATTATAACATTAGATATTTTGGTAAGATCTGAAGGAATTGGAAAACTTCCTTTTCTTCAAAGTACATACATATATATATGTATATATAAACCTTGATTTGTTTAGATTAAATTGAATGTTTCATAAGCACATTTGAAATATGGAGAATTAAAGGGGAGAACATCTTTGTTATTCAGGTTCATTGAAATATAGATTTAAAATGACTAGCACTATATTTTCAAACTCCACACCCTCTCCCCACCCCCTTGGGATCCTTAAAGAAGGTTTATTAAACAATGGATAAAGACGGGAAGCGTGTTACTTTATTTCCTTTTCTCCTGCTTAGATTTGGGGCATATTGACAGAAATGAGAACAATCGTACTAAAGCAACTTTTAGATCTCAATGAACATGCGTTGTAACTTTTTGCAGTCTCTTTCCTTTGAATTTTGAGTTCTGTTGGGAACTTACTTCCTGTGAAGACAGCCAGTAAGTATGAGTAAGAGTTCTTTCAAAAGAGTCTTTTTTCAGTAAATCAGCTCTCTTTAGTAGTTTAGCTGAACATCAGTTAGTCAGTACCAGAGGAGGGAAAAGAGGCTTTTGGGTTGGTAGGTAAGGCATTAAGTTCTAAAAGTGACATTGTGCCAGGAGGAGAGGAATACTACCAGGGTCAGAGGTGAAAAGCTTTGGCAGCAAGAAGTCTGGCTTTTGAGAACCTGGCCATGAGAGCAAAGAGATACTATATATTAAATGGATAAAGAGCCAAGAAGCTGGGAAGACTAATCCAGGTGTGTAAAAATGCAATTGTTTGCCACATTTAAAATAGCCAAATACCATGTCTCAATTTAGATGCCAGTTTGTTTACATTGAAGTATTTTCCAAACTATTCAAAATTTTATTTACTTTTTCAAACTTACAAAATCAGAAATTTGTTTGGTTTTTCTATTCATAATGACAAAATTACATATGGCTTCCTTTGTTCTCTGTAGACAATTATGAGTATGTTACTACAGCAATGTACTTTTCAAAGCAACAGAACAGTAATATAAGTGACTGATTGAGATCTAAATTGAAAATTACGCTACATCAGCAATGCCTCTTTGACAAGTTAGGAATACATTCTCTCTCACAGAGTTACCATTATGTAACATGAACTAACTGATCATGCATTTCTAGAGAGATTTGTTTTGTTTCACTTACCTCTGCAAGAAGTTTCTATGTGATATTTTCCTTATATCCAACTGATTTGCCCAGGGCCAAAGAATTAATATGCGAGTGTGCTGCTGATGACATAGCTATTGGCCATATATGTGGATTTGTGACCCTTTCATTTGTAAAATATGTCCAATATATATTTGTGTGCTCTAAGTGAAGTTGCTACTGTTTATAGATTTAGCTGACATTCGTTTTTTTGATTCTTCCCCTCCTAAACTTCAGAACTTTTTTTGCCAAAATTAGTGCACTCAAACTGATTTTTAGACTTGTGTTTAAATCCCAGTTGCTTTATCATATGTTCTTTTGTGCTTGACTACAGTACATGTGAACAGAACAATGTTCATAATTATTTTGCTCTTGCAGCATAACTAATTGTATATTTTGCTTTCTTATCTAGATTGTAAATTTTCTTAGGACAAAGAAGGACTGATCTTTTTTAAAAATAAGATGTTCTGCACAGTGATAATTTAGTAAATATTGTTAAATTAATAAGTTTGAATGTTTTGAGCTAAGCTCCCTGCCCTCCCACTTTCTTATTCTTTGTAGAAATAGTATGTCTGTGTATAACTGAAATATGTATATATAAGT